AAGTCCTGACCTCGCATCGTGCGCGCTATGCACACATCCCGTGCAAGCATGCAGAGGGGAGGTGTGCGTTGTGCGCACGTCCCATGCGCGTTGGCGTATGGAGGCGACGTGAGCACTGCGCTCACGCCCAGCAGCCACTATGCGCGCACATTGCCCAGCACCCACTAGGCAAACCACCCTATCGTGGGATTTTCCCCCCCATGCAGTTTTTTTTCGTTTTGCCGTTTTCTAATTTTTTTCTAAATTTTTCTTTTAATTTAAAAATAAAACAAAATAATTTAAACTATGTAAAATAATTTAAAATAAAATAAAATAAAAATAAAAATAAATCAAAATCACGAATCATGAGAAATGTTAAATAGCATAAATTAATTAAGTTTAAGGCGTTCAAAGGCCCAAATAAATATAGTTTCCAAATCGTTTTAGCATAGTGATGGGTAGGGTGTTATAATAGAGAAAATCAAATAAATCATGAAATGCTTAAATTTTCATGTCATACTTCACGAAGTCATTACAACTTCAATCTCTCAAGGTAGATACAGATTTTCAACTACCCAAGTGGAATGACAAAATTAGATACAAATATTGCAATTTGCTTAGGCCTATTTCCAGTTGGCCAAACCATGGTACGATCTATGACCACGACCGCACCAGCCATAATGTCCCTAACAGATATCTATAATCACGACATTACTTAGTCACGGGTGACCCCTACATATAGTGCGATACCACTCTCGTCAGAGGGTACACTGTCATCTACTAGGAGTGGCCATCTTACATCTTTCCATACTAGATAGGGGAGGGGAGAACAAATACCCCAAAGGGCAAGAGGAACACATACCCCTCAGAGATAAAAAGTCTAACAAGACACTTGATATAATATGCATATCAATACAGATACACTTCAGACCATACAGGCTTCATTCCACTTTTCTCTTTTTCTTTTCTTTTATACTTTTTACTTTTGCTGATTACATATTATATTTATTACATGCAAATTCATCAAGTGTTTATAATTCACATATCATGCTTGAAAACAAGAATAATTCAATTCATCTGAAAACAGAGACATATAAAACAGACAAAATCACAATCATATTAAATTAGCTTATCTAAAATACTCCTTAAGACATCGAAATAAATACTAGATTCCTTACCGAAACTTGATATTTTCTCCTTCACCGTTCTTCTTTCTTTCTCTTCTTCTCCCACTAGACTACTATATATATATCTCTCTAAACCTTTGAAAAATAAAAGAATGGAAGTGTGGAGAGGAAGGGAAGGGGGATGACAATTTATAGAGTTTTAGAACCATCGGATTCGCACCAAGTGGCAATCTAGTGAAGAGAGAGGAGAAAAAGAATCTCGACATAAAAAACGAGGGAAGAGGGCCTCCTCCACCGGCGGCGACGGTGTGCTGCCCAAGGCAGCGGCGGCGCATTGCCCAAGGTGGTAGTGCCCCGGCTAGTGCGCAGCAGGTTAACCTGCAGGTGCACAGGCATCTTGCCGCGTGCGCAGGGCCTAGGCACTTTAGGTGCCGTGCACGTAGGCTCCAGGCGTAAAGGGATTATCTGCATGCGAGGTGACGCGCAGATGACCCACCTACGCATGACAGGACGTGGGCAGGTCCTGATCCCGCGCCATGTGCACGGATGGGACGTGCGAGCTGTGTGCACATCCCACGGGCACTGTGCACGCAGGCACACGCGCACAGTGCCCAGCACCCGCGCGAGCAACCTGACTCCCTATGGGATTTTTTTCCCGATTCGCCGTTTTTTAGTTTTTTTTCTCAATTTTCCTATTTAATTTAAATGGGTTAGAGTAAAATTATTTAAAATAAAATAAAATAAAATTAATAAAAATCAACCAAAATTACGAATTACGATAAATATCAAGCAGTGTAAATTAATTAAGTTTAACACGGTCAAAGGTCCGAATGAATTAGATTTCTAAATTATTTTAATGCAGTGATGGGTAGGGTGTTACATACACTGTCATCCACAGGGAGTGATCATCTTACGTTTTTCCAGACCAGATCGAATAGAGCAACACAGATACCCTTGAGAGATAAAAAGTCTAACGAAATACTTGATGGATTATGCATGTCAGTATAGAAACATACTTCGGAGCATTCATGCTTCATTTCACTATTTTTTGTTGTTTCTTTTATCTTTCTAGATAACAATACTGAGTTTATATTTATTTTATTACATGTAAAACATCAAATATTTATAAATCACATAGCATGCTTGAAAATAAGAAAGTTCAACTTATAAGACCTATAAACACACAAACATACAAAACAAGCAAAGTCATAATTATCATAATTTAATAATTTTTTTATAAATCACATAGCATGCTTGAAAATAAGAAAGTTCAACTTATAAGACCTATAAACACACAAACATACAAAACAAGCAAAGTCATAATTATCATAATTTAATAATTTTTTTAATCTAAAAATACTTCTCAAAACATCGAAAGAAATACTAAATTCTTTACTGAAACCTTGATATGTCATCTTTCACCGTTCTTCTTTTCTTTTCCTCCTTAACTATCTAAATCACTCCCTCTCTTTCTCTCTCTCTAAGCCTTAAAAAATAGAATAATTGAAATATGGGGAAGAGTAGGAAGGAAAGACCTATTTATAGAAATTTGAAATCGTTAGATTCGTGCCAAGTGGCAAAATCCTGTGAAGAGATAGAAAAAAAATATGCTTGGCACGAAAAACAAGGGAGGAAGGCCTCCTCTGCTAGTGACGACAGTGCGCCGTCCAAGGCAACAACGGCGCACTGCCTGAGGTGATAGTGGCATGCCCGGCATGTTGCAGGCTAGCTTGCGCGTACACAGACCACTTACCACGCGCACATAATGTGCCACGCCTGTCCGTGCACGAGGTGATGCGCGGACGACCCATCGTGACCCCGCGTTATGTGCGCAGATGGGACGTGCGCACGTTCCGCATCTACTGGGCACACAGGCATGTACGTACTGTGTGCAGGCATCCCACGCTGGCAAATTTCCTTCCCCGCAAGAAAAATCCCACGAATTTTTTTTTTTTTTACCATTTCGCCGTTCTCTGAATTTTTCAATTTTTTACTAAAATAAAATAAATAATATGAATGCAATTAAATTAAAATTAAATAAAAATAACTAAAATAAAATAATATTAAATAAAATCAAAATAATAAAAAATTAGTAAAATTTATATTTTACAATAAATAATATGTGAAGTAAATTAAATAAGTTCAATGCGGCCTAAATACCTGAATAAATAGAATTTTTTAAATTAATTAATGACAGGCGAGGTGTTACAGTAATGGTAAATGTAGTTTTTAGGGTAAACCTAAAATCAAGACTAAAAAAAAATAATAAATTTCAATATGAAAGGTTTTGGTAAATAAATACAAGTAAAATTAATAAAACTACTAAACTAAATTAAATTAACTTGATAAAGCTAGAATATATAACTATAAGAGTTATCCTTAAATAAATAAGGAATAAGATAAAATTTTAATTATGATGATTAGGGAAAGCTAAATGAGATCAATGACAAGTTGAATAAGAATGACAAATTATTATAATATAAAATAAAGGCTATTATACATAGGTGAAAACATAACCAAACTTAGCAAAAGTTTTGTTTAGTAAAAGTTTAAGTATTAAAATAAGTAAGAAACAAATTAAATACATTAGTAAAATAAATTAAGACATTTTATAAGAAAAGTGGTGAGTGAATCATCAAGAAAACCTAACTCGTTTAATTATGAATTATGAAGAGGTGGATGTGTGTGTAGCTAAAATTTGATGGGTTTTGTGATGAACCCCACTCATAGACAGATTACCTGAACTTACTCCAAACGTGGATAGGTATGTATGTATTATAATATGATAAGAGATCATCTAGCGATGTACTGTCGTAACCAGTATGATAAATTTGATATGTGAGTGTCTACTATGTCCATGTAGTGAGAGGGATCTTTTCTGCCTCTCATTGATCATAGTATAAACGACATCGTGCAATAAAAATCCTAAATAAGCTTTGAAAGGTTTAATATGTGAATGTGTAAAGTCCGAGGATATAAATGGTGTATGTATACATGAAATTCAATCTAAATCTAATTCAAAATGCGATCTGAATATGATATATAAAAACTCCATTTTATGAAATGTATGAATATGAATCCAATAAGTAAGACTTAGGCAAACATGGTTTATAAGTTAGAAAAGAAATTTGTAATAAACGTGGATAGAGAGAGAAGAAGACAACGAGATTAATAGCATATACGAATAAAATGAAAATGAAATCCGAAATAAAAAAATAGATATGGAAATAAGTAAAGTGAATAAGATTCATAATAAGGGAAATAAAAATCAGACTAAAATTTTGTTAAGAAGTTTTCATTTCGATATTCCTATTTATAAATTTGTATATACTTTATCCATTTTATAATTTATCTGTAGTACTGCATTGATTATATGATTGTGTAATTGCATTTTACATGCTTAGGATATTAGAATATTAATTATACTTATTGAGACAATGAAGTTCACCTTAATTCACACCCTCATTTTTAGATCATGAGAGATTATAAGTGGCTTCAAAATTAGTAGAAGTCACCAAAGAAATTTTTGTAGTTTTCAGCTAAACTATAATATAATTAGACATTAAATTAAAATATTGTTATAAATAATTATTTTGATAGTTCATGTAATTTGATTTAAAATAACTATTATATTATAAAAGACATGTAATAATGTATAGTGTCGCTGCATATAATTACATTTCGTTAGTTCTACTTGTTAGAAATAGTGTTTAAATGTTGTTGCTTCCTAAAATTGGATAGGGACATTACAAATGTCTTACTAAAAAATTTGAATTATTTTATTCTATAAATAACATAGCTTAATTTTTTTTAAATTTTTTTTTTTTCAAATACAGTGCTTAAGTTAAGCCCTCATGGCCTTTATTCGTTTGAAAAACCGAGTAAGGTCTTCTTCTCTGAGTTTGAACAGTGATTTACATTCATAGAGGAGAACCAACAAGTGGAAAATAGTTGCACTAGCCGCATTAAAACTGACTTCTTGTTACTGCAAATCAAACTAAATTGGTGGCTCCCCATTTAATATCAAAGCGGTAAGTAATGATCCTTAAAAGGTCACCAAACCCAATGACGTCCGCATTAAAAACTCTCAACTACTTCTCCTTCAAAACGCGATTCTGCACCACCTGTCCTTTTGCCCGCCAAGACTTTTCCTGCTCTTCACTCTCCACCTTCTGCACGTCGCAGTCTCGACTTTTCTCCTGTACGTCCGTCTTTTTTTTGCCGTGTTCGATTATCTGTTTGGTTTGTGAGAAAATTACGGGGAAAAGTTTGGTATAAGGACAGGGAATGGGAATTTTATTTTATATTTTTTTGGGGATTTCCGTTTCTGGGCTATGGCTATTCGGAGAAATGGTTTTGTGGCCTTTTGTTAACTCATTGAAACTTTCGCCTCTGGCAATTGTTTATGTTTTTAGTTTGAAATTTTATTGAAATATGAAATTGAGCTTTTTATTTCCAAAACACTTTTTAAGCTATATTCAATCATCTGTTTATGCGTCAATATAAAATGTTACTCATGCATTTTCTGATGGGTATGTACTTAGCTAGATTTGGTTTGCGTTTTATGCAAGGAAGGTTAGTGAAAAGGAGGAATTGATTAGTGATGGATTGAATTATTGTACGGTTACTTCGATTGTATTGAATGCTACTAAGATATGGTTATTTTGATGTAAGCATGATACAATTCATGTTATTGGCAGTGAAATTCTAAGTGCTAGTTCTGGTTTGTTATTTATGGTATTGAGGTTTAAAACCTGGATGCCAGTAGAAAAGAACAAACCTTTTCATTATTGGGTTGATGAAACACTTTAATGATTTTCTTTCTCTCCCCACCAATTCTTTAACCGAGAACCTTGAGCTAAGTAGAAATCACAATGATTTTCTGGATGGCTTTTACAAACTTGCGGGGTGTGTTCATGATGATATGAGACAGGATAAAAGAACAATTAAAATGGTGCCACTGATAAAATCTGAAAACTGATCTTAACCAATGAACTGTGATGGTGAAACTCACTTTTCGTAATAGCATTCTGACCTTGGGTTTAATTTTTGTGCAATGAATTAAGCATCTTATGGTGCCTCTTTGCCTTGGGGAAAAAACTGTCATGAGCTCGCAAAAGTGAGTCTTTGGTATTGTTGTAGTGAATTCGATCTATAATGAAGCATCTCATGGGCACCTCTTTGCCTTGAAGAGAACTGTAACGAGTGCCCAAAAGTGAGCCTGTGGTACTCTAGTAGTCAATGTGAAGTATAAGACAGGAATTTTGAATCATTCTATTGGAACTCAAAACATTTACTTCATTAAAGCAAGTTCCAAGTCCTAAATCTTAGTTTCCGAATTAGTTGGGCCATTTTAAGAGCTAACATGGTTGAGAAACTATTCTACTGAAGAGATTCTATTGATATTTTACTAAATGTTCTCAAATTCTTGTTTCTTCGTGATATATGTTGCAGCATTACGTTCTTGTACATTGATGGAGGTTGTTAAAGCTGCTTGTAAGCAGGGATCTGCTGCTCGTGATAGTATTGCAATTAGAGCTGATCAGAAGAGTTACACTTACAGCCAACTCATATCATCTGCATGGAAGATATCTAGACTTTTGTGCGAGGAACTGAAAACTGTATGCTTAAATTCTATAATCCTAATTTGCAAAAGAAAGAAAAAACATGGCGCATTCTAAGTTTTTACCCTGTCTATTTAACTCTTATCACTTTCTGAAGTTATAAACATAAGAATATATGTGGAAATTGGATAAATATTACTATTTCAAGTGTGATAGCTCTTATAAGTTGATAGACACATATCATCATAATCATAATACATAGATTCTCTTTCTCTCTCTCTCTCTCTCTCTCTCTCTCTCACACACACACACACATTGAGTGATGTAGGACAAAATAGGGATAATTTCCCCGCATAAGAAAGACTTAGACATCAAAGTTTCTTAGATATCATAGCAAATGAGTCTTAAGGCATTATATTTAAGAATTTGATTGTATTATACAACAGAAAATTGAGAAAACTCAAAGTAGTTTATTGAATAACTCTGTCTAAAAAGTGAAATCACAAAGATTTTATAATATTTCCAAAATGACCTTTTCTAGATAGGATTATAGTAAGAAATACTAACAATGATAAAGTTAGGAAACATTAATAACAAAAATAGGAAAACTAGATGTCAAAAAGGATAAAATTCTGAAGTTACTAAAATTATAGTAAAGATTCATAAATAGTACACTAGTTTTAGATTTAAAAAAATTTAATTTCAAATCAATTTACAAAATCTAAACTTAAGTCAATATGAATCATTCTCCTCTCATTGGAGAAAACTTGTTCTGGAGTTTTAAAGTAATGGAGGATGTAAAACATTGATATTCCAGTAGTTTTTCTTTTTTTTTTTTTTTTCGGGAGAAGAATAGAAGCTTTATTAAAAGGTAAAGAATGAAAAGGTAAAAATGTGGAGAATTAGGTATCCTCCTCAACTTCTCTAAAAAGAAAGGAGGACAATATAATTTGTGCATGAAAATGAAATAAACACAAACACAACTTAGAGGTCGTTGATGACTGCCTCAGTTCTGAAAAGGTCATATCCAGGAGTTGACCATGCGCCAAAGAGAAGCTTGAAAGAGCATATGATTCTGCTAATTTTGAGGAGAACACCTATTCTCAAAATTGTTTGATTTTTTTTTCCAATCAAATTGTCCGCAATCCTAGAAAAATTACACCTCTTTGAAGTGGTTTCGTCTTCTTCGTCATTCCTACCTCTTGAATATGCTAGTGAACACAGTATCTACCTCTTGAATATGATAGTGAACAAAGCTTTTTTTTTTATTTAAAAAAAATGATAGCGAACAAAGCATTCCACCAAAGGGTTGCAATCCAGTGGATTCCAAAAAGGTCAAATAACCTTGACCATGATCTCTATGCCAGTTCACAATGCCAAAAAAGGTGAGCATGTGTCTCCCACACTGTCAACATAAAGCAAATGTCCGGAGAGATAGCTCGATTTGGTTGACTCGTTTGCAATAAGTCATGGGTATTAAGCCTGTTAATAGTTACTATCTGTACAAAGATATTAATCTTAGAGGGAACCTTACTCTTCCCAAACAAATTAACATAATGATTTTGGGAGCTAGTAGGGTGATCAGTCAGATGTGGAAAATAGGATTTGCAAGTACAGAGACTAGAAGATTATGAAGATTATCGTCGACGGTTAGGTGTCTATGAAGATTAATAGGTAACTAATGTATGGAGTAGGCCGATTAAATCCTTAGTCTCCTTTTATCTTAAAAAGAAATCTCGTCTCCCTATCGGTTAAACAATGAGAAAAGCGAAAGCTCCAGACAACATCATTGTGGGCCACGCAAATGAGGAAATGGGTTCATGATGTCTAGTGGGAGAGGAAATCGGTTCATGATGTCTAGTTGGAGAGGAAATCGGTTCATGATGTATATCCCTCTTATTGGCTATATACATTTTTGGAAGTTTATATTATTCATCTCTTATATAGTCATAGGTTTGAAGAATACATCCTTTACGCCAAGAATAAAATGGTAAGTGTTGGTAGTTTCATCATGCTGAATACGTCAATCATAAAGTCAAGGCCGGGTTAGAAGAATATATGCAAATATTTTAGGAACAACAACGCATAAGATTGAATCATTATAGGTGCCATGACGAATAGAAACAAAAGTATACTGAGTTACCAAAAGGCTCATGTTATGTGTTTAAGAAAGTTTGTATAGTTTTGAATGTGGTTACATTTAAAAAGATTGGGTCTTTTAGATGCAGAGATTGAAATAAGGTTCTAGCAAGAACTCTCATAAATGACAAACTTCTTTTATTTTAGCAATGGAATAAGGTTTGAAACATTGGAGAATGATTCCAATCTTTCTTTGTTTTAACTGCTTGGCTTACTTAACCACAACCAAGAAAGATTTGTCAATTCTCTCATCTGTAAGGAATGACTTCTTTTCTTCCTTAACATTCCATATATTTACAAATTTCCTATAATATTGGAATCTTATCCAAGACTTATAACATATGGTAATGCCATGTGAATTACTAGAACATGTGAAGTATATGGATAACCCAATAACTTAAGTTTCGAAAGGGGATTGGTAGCCTTCAATTTTCTTGTTGACTATAAAAATAAAAAAAAAAAGAGAAAAAGTTTTTGGAACCATTTTGAACTGATAAAAACTGGTCTTGAAGGAGACCGAATTGGTTTGGGTATACTGGTTTGGTCAAACTTGGTGTGAAAATGTAAAACATAGCATTATTTTACAATGCCCACTTGTGGGTAATAAATGCATGAACACACCAGCTTTTAGTCATTGGATGATGTGGAAGATAGCCTTTATCTTTGGCCTCGGCGCTATACCTGGACACAGTCGCTTCTTTCTTTTTGCTCCAAGAGAGAAAATTGGTGCTAAGGAAAACAGAGTAAGCAGTAGTGGAGCGGTGATCATCCGGGCAAGCAGCTTTCATTTTTTTAAATAGTTTGGTAGGGCTTGTTTTAGGTCATAAAGGGAATAGTACTTTTAGCTCGTTCATCTAATTCTGCTGGTCTAGGATGGCTCCCTGCTTCGGGAGTTGCCTCCCCAAAATACGACGGCCTGATCAAGAGAGCCAGAAGCTGGGGCCTGAGCCGGAGCTTCTTTCTATTTCCGTGGGGCTTGGTATGTTAGTCAAATCGATTGGAGGTGGGGGTTGTAAACCAAGTTCAGTGCGAGACACGACTGCAGAAAGGACAAGATCGAGGGAGGCAGTGATTAGGAGAACTTGTGGCAACGAGTAATGGTGTCGCTTACTGGGCTGGAGCTTCACAGAGTTAAGTGGTGGGGCTTCATGGAGTTGCTTAATGTGGTCTTGTAAGACTGGTGATAGGGGCGTTGTTGGTGGTGAACTGGCTGACAGCTTTTAAGGTTTTATGTGTGCGTGACTTTTCTGTCATTTTCTTTTTGTCCAGACAGATCTGTGACTGTTTGGGGTATAGTACTTTGTGAATTTAGTGTATATAACTTTTAGTTTCATATCAACTAATATATGACAAGTTAAAGATAATTTGCCTACTTGAAGATTTGGGGATACAAACTTAGACATCACATCTAAGAAGTCTTAAATAAGGTTTGATTGCATCACATAACAAGAAAATTGAGATCTCTCAATGTAGTTTATTGAATGGCTGAACTTTGTTGAAAAATTTGATTACATAAATATTTATAATGCTTCCTATGAAACTTTTCATAAATAGGATTAGAGTAAGAAATACTAATACTAATAAGATTCAAGTAGCACTATTAATAATAAAAATAGGAAAACTAAATGCTGAAAATACTAAAACCCTAAAGTGACTAAAGTTATGATAATAGACTCTTAAAGAATACAATAGTTTTATGTTTAACAAAAATAATAATTTCTAGTAGATTTACGTAGTCTAAACTTAAGCCATTATATATTATTAAGGCTCTTGCTAGTTTGAATAAGTAATCAATACTTTTTTATGCTTACTTGTCGTATTTCAGAGTTGTGAAAGTAGCAAGCATGGTCATCCATCTGTGGCAGTTGATGATGCCACAGAGTATGAGAATCTCGGTGGAGCTCGAATTGGAATTGTGGCTAATCCTTCTGCTGAATTTGTTGCGGGAGTACTAGGGACTTGGTTTAGTGGAGGTGTTGCAGTTCCACTTGCACTCAGCTATCCGGAGGCTGAACTTTTGCACGTGATGAATGATTCTGTATGAACTGAAGAACCTCTATTTCGCTTGTTTTGATTATTTGCACTCTTGATGTTGTGAAGTGTGGTTTGTAGCCAGTAATATGCTCTATTTTAAATTTATGAATGGCAATGACACAACTAGAAATACTATTTGTAATAAGTAACCTTGTAATACTTGTTATATAAGCTCTAAGTCCTCGTCAACCTGCTTATACTTGTATAAACTTGAAATCCTGATCCCTGCATGTTTCGAACTTGCAATCACTCTTGACCACAGTCACCTTTTGACCATGATATTTGGTGGTCAGAAGATTGACAACTTGTTGTAGAAGTTGACCAAAGATAGTGCAGTGTTTTTATTAGAAAGTGTAAGGCGATGGGGACAATCTATATACTGAGATTGGCTTCATTTCACACCATCCTGCTGAATTGTTGGTATGGAAACTTCTCTAGCTTCATCTTGGATTAATTAGAAGTCTTATTTTTGTTTGAGTTTAGGATGTGTCTATGCTATTGAGTACTGAAGATTACAAGGAGACTATGCAAAGTGTTGCTGCTAAAAGTGCTGCCAAGTTTTCTCTTATTCCACATGTTACTAGCACTTTGTCACAGATAAACGTAGATGATCAGTCACAAACTGGATTCCTAAATGCATATGGGAGCTTTCCAGGAAAAGTTGAGAACTCAGGTAAGACTATTAGTAAATGTTATATTCATTTACATGAATTCTGGTGAATTCATGTAAGTTTTGGTCAGTTTTTCAACTTTTCGTTTCATCATATTAGTTTCATATGATTCTCATTTGTACAGGTGATCCAGCATTGATTGTCTACACCAGTGGTACAACTGGTAAACCAAAAGGAGTTGTACATACACACAAAAGCATCAGTTCTCAGGTGTGTGCTAAAACTCCATGCACCTCATGAATGCTGGCATCCTCTCAAGAATACTTTTTCTTTTAGTATTAATGCCTCTACCTTTGATTTAGTAGGAATATTATAGAATTAACATATTTCATTATTATGAGATATTTGTTATCATTATGATATTATTAACGGTATTTGCTTATTTTGGGACTATTTAGATATATGTGTTATTAGTTTAGGTTTTGTATATGTAGTTGAAATTCTTATTTTGTTGTTTTCTTATTGAATTTTTCTAATATATCAGGTTTTGTGGGCAAAGATACCTCTTAGAAGCCCTTAGAAATCTCCTCCTTTAGGGAGTAGCTTTGTGGGTCTCACTTGGTCTTGTGACTTTTACTCTTCTTCTTGGTCTGAAGTCGGGGTGGAATGAGTGTTGCCGCTAGCTGTGGTGGGAATGACAATTTTTAGGTTGAAACCAATGGTGATGGCCAATAGAAGGGTTGTTATAAGAATAGGAAAAATAGTGGCTTTGGTGCTTGGTTGAGGAAAAGATTCAGGTTGAGGCATTTCAACGGGTTTTGAAAAATGTTGTTAGGATTACCCAACTGTTGCAGTCTAGTTTTGGAGGGTTTAAGGAATAAGCTATTAATTTGTTTCTGGCGCTGGAAGGTAGTAAAGGTGGAAAGGGGCATCTAAAACTCCAAAATTCTAACAAAGAAAAAAGTGGGTGTGGATAAAGCGAGATAGCTTAGAAGACTTTGTAGTTTGGTGAATTGTGTGAAGGGGCAAATGATGGGAAGGGTGCTAAGGGTGTGTTAGAGATTGAATCCTTATGTTCAAAAGACAATCTCCACAATTGATGGATTTGAATGATTCTAGCAAGAAGACGGTTAAGAGTTGTCAAAATGGGATCTTGAGATTGTTTGTTTTCAAGAAGATTGCTGCTTTCCCCACCAACCTAGCTTATCATGGGTTAGGGCTCTCCTATAGGTTGGGGCGGTGGGCGGCACTGGTAATATGTGGAATTAGACCAAGAATGGAGATTTTGGATTTGTGTAGAGGCCAATGTTCTATTCCTAACATATTGAAATGCAGGGTGTCAGAGTTGGTGTTGGTGTTTAGAAAGGTTTATAGTAGAGTGAGGACTGATATAGGGAGGCATTATGGAATGATCTCGAGGTGACACACTACTTGGTCACTCGCAGTAGGTGGGATTTTCCTTGATGACTTGATATTAATTTAATTTAGTACTACTTTTTCATGAGAGGTAAGGAGAGGCTCATCTTGTGTTTGTTATAAGAGTTTAAGGACTCTCTGGATGGGCTCTGCCTCATTGATCTCCCTTTGTTTGGTGAAATGGACTTGGTTCAACTCTAAGGAGAGGCCTCGTTTTCAAGAATGGACTGCTTTCTTGTCCTTTTTGCTTTAATTCTCAAGTTCCAAGATTGGTGCAGAAATTGTTGCCACATGCTATTTCCAATCTCTCTTTTGCTTGGATAGTGGTATGATTAGGTGGCAGCCCTGTTCGTTTAGATTTGAAAACAAATTACTACAGGTCCATGCTTTCTCGAATAGCATTAAGGAGTGGCTGGAGGAGGCTTGGGTGAATGAGCATGTTAGTTTAAAGATTTCGAAAAAGCTTCACATGTTAACCATAGAAACAGAGTCTGGAATAAGCAGAATTTGTGGATGTGGAAGTAAGAAGGATTGCTTGATGTTCAACATGTTTTTATGGAGCACTGACATATTTTGAGTGCTATCCTAATTGCTATTAAGTGGTCGACTTTACGTGGAGACTTGGTATGGAGGTTTTGATTTGCAAACTTGATATGAAAAATGCTTACGGTAATGTCTTGTTGATGTAGGATCAGTAGTGGTTAAACTAACTTGTCTAATGGATAGTTTAGAAAAATAAGTTGTTTAGGTTAAAAACACAAGAATAGAGGTATAGCAGAGGAAATAGATGATCAATGTGAAGAAATATAGGGAGTAGTAGACATAATTAGATAGGTTTAAACAAAATAATAACAAAAAGAACAAACGCAAAGAGAAATAAAAATGAATAAAACCCTAATAAAGGATGTCTTAATTTATCATCATGTCCTTTTTTGTTGATAGCTACTAGTCTTTATCTAAGCATCAATTATAACTAATAAGAAAATGTATAAAAGAAGAAATCTAAGATATTCTCGTTTTTTTTTGGATAAAAGGTGAAATATTATTGAGAAAGGAGAGAAAAAAGATACATCACTGGAGAATAGTACATACTTCTGAAGAAAATACAAAAAGGAAAAAAAAGGAAAATGAAAACTAGCATTCCCCTCATGGGATGAGAAAAAATGGATACAATCTATTGGCTGAAAATAAATGCGTCCCAATTGCAGTGTAATGTGATATGCTTGTATTAGAGTAATGCTTATGTGCTTTGGCCCATAAAGGTGTCAGAAAAAGTTACCCTACTCCACAACTAGGAAAAAGATGTATACTTACAGTGAAAGATTCTAGAGTTGTGTGCCTAAATAGGAAACTGAGATAATATAAGGTCTAAGCGGACCTAATTAATCTAAATAAATTAAAAATAAAAAACAAAATTATTATGAAAAACTTTTTTAACCGAGAATGATGTCTTTTTATTCTGGACCATTTGGGCCTTCTTGTTTTGCATGTTAAGGAGACTTTTGTTTAGTGAATGATAATGCCTCGTGGATGAAAACTTATATTTCTTTCAACTCCTTTTTAGCTATTGTTACTCTATGATGTGCCTAAAACAAGGGAATTCCTTTTTTCCTCTTCTTTTTATCATTATTGTGGAGGTCCTTAACAAATTGATTATCAGAGTAAGGAAAAAAATGGTTGATTCAGGGGTTGGTTATGGGCAAAGGAGGGCAGGCGGTGTTATGGAGTCTTTTTTTAAGGATCTAGTTATAGGTCGGTTAACATAATAGTTAGTGAGTAAACTTCAATTCTTGGTTTTTCTTCCCTTGCCTATATTAAAACTAAGTTATGGGTTCATTGATAGAGAACAGACAATCTCACGGTGTCTACTCACACTTGAGAAAAAAAGCAGTTTCTTCTTTCGTAGAAATTAGGAACCACCTTTCATTATCTTATTCCTAGACCAAGTCAAACCCATAGTGTAATACGAAATAATTATTGAGATGTGAATGGAACTTATTACAGCATAAGTAAAAAGCAGTTTCTTTTGCATAGAAATTAGGATCCACCTCTTGTTATCTTATTCCTAGACCTAGTCAAAACTGCTAAGATGTTCAAATCATGCACTTGCAATATACAGAATTTCTGAAGGCACACTTGGTAAAAGGCCATAAGGAACACTTGGACTTCTGACCACAAAATTAGGAGACTATGGATAGACTATTAAGTATGGGCTGTGGGTTTCTTCGTCTTTCTTTGATACACTTTAACAATGGGTACGATATGCGTACTTATAGGATCCATAACGAGGTGGTGATTATCTATTTGCTTTTTGTTGACAGCACGTTTATTTTGTAGGCCTAATTAGGAGGCTGTCCTTACCATTAGATGCGTCCTCTTTTTCAAAGTTGTTTTTGACTTTAAGGTCAATTTGTCTAAACGAGTTGGTGCTCATTGGGGAGGGCCAAAATATGGAGGCTTTTGCTGGCATGTTGGGCTATAGGGGTGGCCATTCTTCTTTTTAAGTACTTGGGATTACCACTTGGGAAGAAGTTCAAAGGCAAAGTTGTATGGGAGCTTGTGGTGCCTGGATTTGAGAAGAGATTGGCAGATTAAAAAAGGGAATTTTTTATCCAAAGGGGCATACTCTTGATAAATGTACTTTGTCTAACTTGCTTATTTTGTCTTTGCTTGCAATCATAGCTAGCGTGGGAAAGGAGCTGGAGGCATTGTCATGCTGCTTTTTATGGAGTGATTCTAAAGAATGAAAGAGGTTCAACCTAATGGCTTGGGCCTATGTTAAGCTCCCTTGTCAAAGGGTCAGGCTTGGCATTAGATCTATTGTAAATTTAAATAAAGCTCTCCTTGTAAAATTATTGTGGTAGGGGCATGAATTGTGAGGACAAACTGTGGTGGAAAATAATCTAAGCTAAGTTTGGGCTTGATGAGTGATGGGTTGGAGGGTCAGGTAGTCTTAGAGTTACGCATGTCTTGGGTCTTTAGAAGAAAATTAACGTTTGTTGAAATGAGTTAAAATCTATCAATGGACATACTTAAGCCAAGTTTGTGCTGAAAATCATCTATGAACATATTTTAATAGTAACAGTAAACAGTATGATTAAATAAATATTTTGTTATTTTTTAGATAAAAGAAGATTTATTAGGAAGAAGGGACCAATACAATGTATACTAAAAGAATTAAGAAACCCCCCTTAGAAAATCATGAAAACAAAAAGAAGAAAAAAATAACAACAAAGTGATACTGGCCTATGAGTTGTAAATAATAGCATTCCAACTATGGTAAGGTGCTAAAATATTAGTACAATGATAGTGCCCGTGTACTTTAGCCCAGAGGGTAGCTAAAAAGATAGTTTCCCATAACTCACAAAAAGATGTGTGATGGTCCTTTAGTATCTGCCTCTTTCGAGATAGCTATAAACACCACAACCCAACAAATATAGCCCCTCGCTGAAGAGGCTTGGCACGTTCCTTGATCCTTCTCCATGAATAAAAGAGCATAGGAGAGTTCCCCATTTGAGGGATTAACCCAATTCAGCTTAAAAATTACTGACAAAATTAGTCCAAGACCTCCAAGCTATGGCACAATATAGAAACAAGTGAGAGTGAGTCTTCTCCACCGCGAAACACATGAAGCATATATTCTAGAGATAAAGCTCAATTTGGTTGACGAATTTGAAGCACATCTTTTATGTTAAGCTTTTGATGAAAGTGAGTTCAAGAGAACACCTTTACCTTAATGGAACTGAAGCCCCCCAAAATACCTTGCTAATGCGAAATTGGCTGAGGGGGGGTCGTTTGTGAGGTGATTAAAGGAAGACTTACATGTATACAACCATGATGGCTCAAGGATTTAAATTCTATTATCAGGTTGAGGCGAGAGATGAATTGCTCAAAAGGTATAACAATGAAAAGATATCGCGTCTCCTTCTCGGATGGGTGCCGGGTAAAGTCGAAGTTCCAAGAGAAACTTCTTGCAGTATTCAAAGTGAAAGTGGATGTATGGACATTGTGCATGGTGGAAAGGTATGTATAATTGAGGAAATTTGGATGGTAACGGTTGGTCTCCCACCCGAGTGTCTCCCAAAACAATATTTTAGATTCATTTCCCACCTGAAAATGGGTAAGTAGAGAAAACAATGTTCGAGCCTAGGAGATGGATTTCCA